AGGAGCTCGGTTATTCGTGAGAGACTCAGAGTAGAGCTGCTGCTCCTCCGCATTGAGAGGAGCCAGATGAGGTGGCTCAGGCATCTGCTTAGGATGCCTCCCTGGTGAGGTGTTCCGGGCATGTCCCACTGGGAGGAGGCCCCGGGGAAGACCCAGGACACGCTGGAGGGACTACGTCTCTCGGCTGTCCTGGGAACGCCTCGGGATTCCCCGAGAGGAGCTGGAGGAAGTGGCCGGGGAGAGGGAAGTCTGGGTTTCCCTGCTGAGACTGCTGCCCCCGTGACCCGACCTCGGATAAGCGGAAGTAAATGGATGGATGGATGGCATATTGCATGCAATATTTCTATAAGACATACACACGTTTTGCATAAACAATGTGTTTATGTTGCATAAACAATATGTCAGGAACAATGTCTTTTATATATTGCACGATGTAGAATAATGCACTTAGAAGACTATTGCACGAAACACAGAAAACAATCGGGGGTGAGTTTCCCAAAAGTGTCGTAGCCAAAAAACTACATAAAAAGGACTTTGAATGCTCTCTCACTGAATAAATACATTCTTAATTCTTCAACGGTTTTGTGAAACTCCCCCCTGCTTGGTTGTTTTTCTATAAATACTACAGAGATACTGCTCTGTCTCTACGCACAGAATTAGTGATTTTCAGAAAATTGTTTTTGAAAAATTCAACCTCATACTCCGTTTCACTTACATTAAACTTAGATATTCAGCCAAAATTTGATTTTTTTGCAAGCGTATTTATATAGATATGAGCTTCTTTCCCCACACCGCTAGCCATCATTTCTTTTCTTGTTGTGTATTGCAATGCGTTGTGGGAATTTTGGATTTTGGTTTTGAGTCAGCATCTGGAAAAAACGCACAAAACGGAGGGGTAGGGCTAAGGGGTAGGGCTAAGTGGGGGTATTAGGATTGGGCCAAAATTGATTTAGTGGTATGGTCTAAATCCTCATTATCTAAAATCTGATTTTTCTGTCTGCATGATCCAATTCTGACATGATCGGCATGTTGTTGTTATTCCTACAACATCATAATTAATGTTGTGCCAGGACCATCATTGCAACTGACTTGTAACTTTGTTGTGATGTTATAGCTTTGTACCTCGGGGAAAAAGACTGGCAAAAGGAATAATACTAGTGATGTGCTACTAGTTACTAAAACGGCAGATTTGGGGGTCTCACTGTATCTGCTCATGTCATTCTCAAAACATTTTGGCCACAACTGTACATAAGAATAAGGTGAAGCAGAAAACACACGGAATGAGCAGAAACCAGCCACGTAAAGGGTGGAAGCAACATTCTAATGCCAGAGTGCCAGAGATGCCCATTAAGTTACCCGACAGTTTCTCATGAATCATTGGATGACATCAAGAGAAACAGGATAGAACCAGGCTGCAATTTGCAAAAACACACACACACACAAACATATATATATATATATATATATATATATACACACACTCACCTAAAGGATTTTTAGGAACACCTGTTCAATTTCTCATTAATGCAATTATCTAATCAACCAATCATATGGCAGTTGCTTCAATGCATTTAGGGATGTGGTCCTGGTCAAGACAATCTCCTGAACTCCAAACTGGATGTCAGAATGGGAAAGAAAGGTGATTTAAGCAATTTTGAGCGTGGCATGGTTGTTGGTGCCAGACGGGCCGGTCTGAGTATTTCACAATCTGCTCAGTTACTGGGATTTTCACGCACAACCATTTCTAGGGTTTACAAAGAATGGTGTGCAAAGGGAAAAACATGGTCTGATGAGTCTCGATTTCTGTTGAGTAGAGTCAGAATTTGGCGTAAACAGAATGAGAACATGGATCCATCATGCCTTGTTACCACTGTGCAGGCTGGTGGTGGTGGTGTAATGGTGTGGGGGATGTTTTCTTGGCACACTTTAGACCCCTTAGTGCCAATTGGGCATCGTTTAAATGCCACGGCCTACCTGAGCATTGTTTCTGACCATGTCCATCCCTTTATGACCACCATGTACCCATCCTCTGATGGCTACTTCCAGCAGGATAATGCACCATGTCACAAAGCTCGAATCATTTCAAATTGGTTTCTTGAACATGACAATGAGTTCACTGTACTAAAATGGCCCCCAGAGTCACCAGATCTCAACCCAATAGAGCATCTTTGGGATGTGGTGGAACGGGAGCTTCGTGCCCTGGATGTGCATCCCACAAATCTCCATCAACTGCAAGATGCTATCCTATCAATATGGGCCAACATTTCTAAAGAATGCTTTCAGCATCTTGTTGAATCAATGCCACGTAGAATTAAGGCAGTTCTGAAGGCGAAAGGGGGCCAAACACCGTATTAGTATGGTGTTCCTAATAATCCTTTAGGTGAGTGTATGTCTTAGCAATAACACTGTTAATTGTAGGTTTCAGTTAGTTGAATTACATATGATTTATAACACTGAGAATTGTTATTTGGAAGTAAATGAATTTGTTAAAGTGTTCATCATATGAAAATTTCACTTTTCATTGCTTTTGCACACTCATTTCTGCACAATATTTTTATTTTTCGATTTTGTATTCTCAACTGAATATGGAAAGAACAAATGAGACACAGATTGTGACTTTAAATTAATTTCAGATTTTGAATTCCGGATAAACATAACTGACAAAAAGATTATCAAAATTAGTAGAACGATTACTAGATAATAGCCATTAACGTTTCTATGCTAATTGCCACAGCCATTTCCCTCAATGGTTATAAAACTGAGTTAAAGGTAAACCTGGGCAGTATCGCCAAAAATGTCTTCACGACACAAATCTCAATACCAGTCGACATCGATGTTCATCGTGATAAATGCCAGGCCATTATTTTCCCCTCTTTAAAGGCTGATCTTTAATCAGAAAACAGATGGTTAATCGTAGTTATAAAGTATTCTTTATCGTCAGAACGTGACAAACACTAGCCAAACAGTAGTAATGATGCATCTGGGACATTTTGCTGTAGGGCCTATTTCTGACCCCACTAGAAAGAGCTCTCTATATTCAAAAAAAGGGTTTAAAGTATGCTGAAACGGAAATCCAAAAGAGCCACATGGACTCAAAAATATCGCAAATGGCTCATGAAGCTTCCAAACGGCATTTTGCTTCCGGAGTAGTAGATTAACATGTTATTTTAATCATCCTCGAAAAAAGATAGCATTCTTCCTATCGTTATTTAATTCTCCGTGGATTAATTATTACTGTCAGGATTTCTCATGGACTGAATCTTACTGTGTACTTTCCTTTTCAGCTTCGCTGGATTACCCTTATTAAAAGGGTTGCTTTGGACTTACCTGCTATTCCGGTGAGCTGCCCTGTTGATTCACCGGTTTTGTCTGTTGTCTACCTGCCCTATTACATTGTCATTTGTTTAATAAATCCACAGTTTTCACGGTCGTATTTGCCCCTCAAATGCGGCAACTCTAGTCCCCCCACTCCACCCCCAGCCATCTGTTTTAAATCGTATGGAAAGCATAATAACCGTCAGCTATATTGATATAGACGGAAATTATATATAAATAATTATCGTTGCCGTTTTATCATCCGGCCCTAGTTTAGGGTAATCAAAACCCACTTAAATATGGATCTTATACTATTTAAATAAAATGTCTTGTACATTAATGTTAAAATTTACACACCTTTTTTGCCTTTTGTGTTAAATCCATGTAAAACTGTATCTGAGCTGTGTAGTACAGTACTTAGCGCCAAAATTATGCTCAGTTGCGCATGCGTGATAGGTTCAGTCAGAGGCTATATAACTTTACCATTAGGCAATGGTCAACAATCGCCTTGGGCGCCACAAATGTATACAGTATAGGTGTTTTGGGTTGCATCTCAACAGATGTTACACTTTGTACAGACATTACATGACTTATTCACATTCAAGCAGCACATCTTATCCTTAGATAGGCGTGGCCATTAGTTTGTGGTAAAACCAATTTACGTTGCACATCTGAGAACAACATATTTTGGGTTGGTGTGGCATATCCCAATTGACCTGCTCTCCAAAATGGATAATATACATTTTAATTCAGTTCTTTTAATGCAGAATGGTCAAGCACAAAGAGCATGCTAATGGGCCACAAATATCAGATAAGGGCCACAGAGGAATGAAGGGGGTTTGTTAAAGAATAATCTCTGAAAGTTAGGACACACTGAAATACTCGGTTACACTCATTTTCAAGATTCTTCTGGTATAACCATTACAACATATATGCAGTGGTAGCTATACACATTTATTTATTTAAATTTATATAAATGTTCAAGTGCAAAGGATGTACGGGGAGGGGGTTGCGTGCCAAGTCGAGGGACCCCTGTCCTTGAGGTCCACTCTGCTGTCTGTAGGTCCCTAAATCTTTGGGCAATAAAAGTTGGAGTGCTGGCCTCCCTTGTTATCTGTGTGTGTGTGTGTGTCTGTGTGTGGAGGGGGGGAGGGTCACTAACCCCTGTTTTGTGCCTAGGCCAGAGAGTACCTCTCGTACCAGGGTAGGCCTTGTCTCAAGCCACCTGGAATTTAAGCTCTGTCATATGTGCATGTGTGATCCTACAAAGTAGATGTCCTAACCAATTTGCCTAAACTATAGTTTGCTAACATGAAATCTGTGGAGTGGAGTTTTAATGACTTCAACCTAAGTGTATGGAAACTTCCAACTGCAACTGTATAGCATGCTTTTAATGAATTATGTTCAATATTTTTACTTCCCTACAACCCAGAGCAGCATAAGCAGTTAGATGGTGGATGGATGGACAGATGTTTTTACTTATGAAATTGTCTTGATGTTTGAACCTTATAAACAAACTAACATATTGTCATTCATTTTCAACTCATTCATGTACACAGCTGATGTCTGGGTATGGTAATCACAATAAGCTCCATAAAACAAAAAGGATTGCTTCAAAACATATTTATTTATGTCAATAACCAAGCATTGTCAGTAAAATGACTAATAAAAATAATTTCACTTAAGATGCAATTATGCTATACACAATAATTCAGTCTGGATTAGATAGAGAAAGTATAGGGTTGACTTTGATAGGTTGGAATATTATGCAAAACTGCTTGGAATTCATGTTTAGGAGGTGCAATTTCCTGTGAGATTTTTCCAAATATTAGGAGTATGGTGCTAAAGGCACTCTGGCTATTACCTCTGAATTAGTGTCTGTGTGGAGTTTGCATGGTTTACCCATGTTTGTATGGCTTTTCTGTAGGTTTCTTTTGCAGAACATATGTGTGTCTCTAAATGGCTCTCTGTGTCTGATTGTGTGTATGTGCAGTATGCGTCAGCTGGTTCCGGGATTCCCGTGGCCCTCTACTGGATGATTAGTTATGGAAGATAGATAGATGCTACTAAAACATTATAAAAATGTACTCTAAGTAAAGTAAAAAATTATTTAAGTAACATAGAATAGTAATATACTGTCAATAGAAAGAATTGGAGTGTAATTTTCAAAGTTAGTATGCTGTTGTTTTGTTCCCCACAGAAATATGCTTTTCCTATGAATACTTTACCACCAACTTCCCAGATTCAGGTGACTCTGCAGCCATTCAACATAGTTGGACAGTTTGGTGTAAACTCCATAGACACGCTGGCTTCCACACTCTTCTGGTCCCCCCCAAGACACCAGTCCCTGAGCAACCCACCTCCCAGTATCAGGATCCACCATTACAAACGCTCCTCCACTATCACCTAAGCACGTGTCACGGCCACCCTCAAAAAAACCCGCACAGAACATGTTGTCTGTAATGTTGTACTTCCCAGACCTGGAAGCATAGCTAGATTGGCATTCCTCCTTTGCCACCACTGGCAGTTTCACGTATTGCAACATATCAGTTACAACACCTGTATCAGAGGTCACCATACTGTCAATGGATGTGTTAAGGTTTGATATCCCCCATCCAGCAACTAAACCAAGCATGCTGGGCAGCAGCTCACTGCGACTCTGGTCACGGAGAGGCAAGCATACTGGCAGGACAAGTGCATTCATCGGCACTCTCTGGCTCATCTTGACCAAGGCGATGTCATTGTTGTAGTTGCGGGGGTCAAAGTAAGGGTGCAATACTAGTTTGTCAATGGAACGGTTGAGGGCCAGGTGTTTGCTTTGGATATGGTGAAGGCCCATGTAGACCTGCACATGCTCTGGAGCCACGGGGACCACAGAGGCATCGCGGCGCTGTAAGCGCAGAACGTGGGCAGCTGTCAGCACCCACAAGTCAGAGATCAGCGCCCCACTTCCAAACCAGCGGTCCTCAGGAACACGGGTGGCATCCTCCACCAGGAGTAGTACCTGCCAGGGGAACTGACCTGGGGATGCAATGTGCCCTCCCACAATCCTCTTCAACACGGATGGCAAAGCTTGCTCCGGCTTCCCGCATGCTGGAGACACATAGATTTGGCAGGCACGCAAAAAAACAGTTTGGGATTAATATGTGTGTGTGGACTTCTCTACACTAAAAAATTTACATAAACGTTAAAATTAGACTGACCAGTATCATCCTGGTGAAATCTATAATCCCTTAATAAATTTTACCAAGTATAAATAAAAAGGAGGAGACAGGGCTGAATTTTGTATGTTTATGGAGAATAAGCAAGAAAAACATATACAGGTGAATCCCTGTTAGTAAATTATGGAATCTGAATGCAAACAGAGTTGAATTTAAGTCCCCGAATAATCCTGAACTTTGAATTATTGATCTTCAATGACCAATAAATCTCATAGTGATCAGTACTGTATCTCGCTCAGGTTACTTGGCATTGATACACTAATTTTTACAAAACACTAGTACCATGAGAAAAGCACATAGACTTCAAACCCACTGTCCTGGAAGTTTGTCACAATAACCTAACTCACTGACAACTACAGCATGCATTTCTGCTATAAAAGCAGAATCCAAACTTCCATTCATTATACAATGAAATGGAGAAAGTTCACCTGGCAGACATGACGGAAGTTTGGTTCCAATTTCTTTGTTGGTCCACTCTCCTGTCTCTCCACAGATATAGGTACCTGTATTTCAAATAAACTCTAAGAAAAATGTCAGGATAAATGGGAAGAAAACATTAACAAGGATAATCTTACTGTTGATCCTAGGATGAATCTGGTACAGAGGGTCTTTGCAGGTGTAGTAGATCCTAGACCCAAACAAAGTGCTGTTTCTGGATGTCTCGAACATCACAACACCCATGGAAATCTCCCTTGGTGATTCACAGTCCACCACTGTTAAGATATGGCAATGCAGGTTTATTCATATAGCACATTTTCAAACAGAAAGACAGACAGAAAGATTTGAAATTGGCCTATAATTGTTCAGTATGGAAGCATCAAGGCTGCTCTTTTTAAGGAGGAGCTTAATGACTGCAGTTTTCAATGACTCAAGGAAAAACCCAGTGAACTATTTTTAAAATATCAATAGTCAGACAGCTAAAATCTTTAAAGAGTGTAGTGGGTAAAATATCAAGTCAGCAAGGGGAGGATTTTAGGGTCCTGGTGCTAAGCTTAAATCCCCTCTACTGGTTCTAAAAAGTGAAAAAAGTACAGTTCAACATATTGGAATTAATTGTTTGTCTAATATGATTTTCTCACAGAAAAATTCTGCAAATTCATTGCACCCTTTTGCTCTGAAAAACTTGGGAAGTACTGTCATGCTCCGTCTCCATCTAACCTGTTTTGTCCCTATCTAGCCAGCAGAGGTCTCAGCTAGCCATCCTGTTTCCCCTTCCATGTGTCCTCTAATTAGTTACGGCAGCTCCTTGTTCTCATTACCTGTCTATTTAGTATCTATTTGTTTTATGTTCCCCAGTCCGGTCACTGTTAACATCTAAACGTATCCTATGGTGATCAGTGTTTTACAGAGCTTTGTTCTCCTAGTGTTCTGTTGTGGTCCTCTGCAATCCCTTTTGTTTCTATTACTTTATTTTTAATTCATAAACCAGTTTAATTTTCCCCACAGCTGCATCTGGGTTGTTCCTCACAACCACATTTGACAGGTACCTGAACTCTGTGATTAGTAAGCCACAATGATGAACAGAATGTTGTTGATGTTATCATTAATGATGTGTGAGAAAAAAAATCACCTAGCCTTGCTGATATCAGAGTTAAAAAGCTTAAGTTTCTCATAATAGATGTATTTTCTCCACCTAGGTTCTGTTTTCTTGCATTTGCTCTTTTGTTATAAATCTGCTGGATTATTTCTGTTACTTTTTGCTTAATGAACACTAATGAAACCTTTAAATTAGCTAATAAGAACATAAGAAATTTACAAAGGAGAGGAGGTCATTCGGCCCATCAGGCTTGTTTGGGGAGAACTTAACTAATAGCTCAGAGTTGTTAAAATCTTATCTAGCTCTGATTTAAAGGAACCCAGGGTTTTAGCTTCGCTACACTAGCAGGAAGACTATCCCATACTCTAACTACATGCTGTGTAAAGAAGTGCTTCCTCAAATTTGTTTTAAAATGTTCTCCCGCTAATTTCCACTTTGTCCATGAGTTCTAGTATTTAAACTAATATTGAAATAGCTAGCTCCCACTGGGTAAAAAAAAAAAGAAAAAAAAAGAAATAGCCATTTGGTTGAACAGCATCCAGACCCGTTAGAATCTTATTGACCTGGATCATGTCCCCCCTTAGTCTCATTTGCTCAAGGCTAAACAGATTCAGCTCAGCTAACCTCTCCTCATATGACATTCCTCTAAGACCAGGAATCATTCTCGTAGCCCTACGTTGCACCGTTTCCAAGGCAGCAATGTCTTTCTTAAGGTATGGGGACCAAACCTGCACACAATATTCTAGGTGGGGTCTTACCAATGAGTTACATAAATGTAACATCACCTCCCTTGACTTAAACTCCACACACCTAGAGATGTGACCCAACATTCTACTGGCCTTTTTTATTGCTTCCCCATACTGGCGAGAGTGGGACATGGAAGCATCAACATACACACCGAGATCTTTCTCGTAATCAGCTACCTTTATTTCAGTGGAACCCATAAAATATCTGTACTTTATATTTCTGCTCCCTGCATGGATTACCTTACATTTATCTGTGTTAAGTTTCATCTGCCAAGTATCAGCCTAATCAAATCCAGATCCCGTTGTAGCCTCTCTGCTGCTAGATCAGTATCTGCTACACCACCCACCTTGGTGTCGTCTGCAAATTTAACCAGTTTACTGTATGTATTGGTGTCAATATCATTAATGTAAATTAGGAACAACAGTGGTCCTAAAATTGAACCCTGCAGTACCCCACTATGAACGCAGGCCCACTGTGACATTGTGCCTCTAATAACTACTCGCTGCTTCCTGTCAGTTAATCAGTTTTCGATCCAAGCTGCCACAATTCCTAAAATCCCTGCAGCTTTGAGCTTAAGCAAGAGTCATTTGTGGGGGACAACATCAAAGGCCTTCTGGAAATCTAAGTAGATCACATTGTAAGCCTCTTTGTGATCAATTTCTCTTGTAGCTTCCTCAAAGAACTCAAGTAAATTAGTTAAACAGGATCTACCTCTCGTAAATCCATGTTGGCTATCCCTCAGAATGTTATTTGCATCCAGGTAATCTACCATTTTCACTTGGATTATAGCTTCCATTATTTTTCCAGTAATGCTAGTTAAACTGATTGGCCTATAGTTTGCTGGATTACTTCAATCCCCTTTTTTGAATATGGGTGTTATATTAGCATGCTTCCAATCTGAAGGTACCACACCCGCAGATAACGATTTCTGGAATATTAAACTTAAAAGTTGGCTAATAATATCCCTCATCTCTTTTAAAACTATAGGTAAGATGCCATCAGGGACCTGCGATTTATTTATTTTGAGTTTAGCTAGGCTTAGTACCACATCAGCCTCAGTTATACATATTTTGGTCATAGATGATGCTGAATTCGTACTAATTGGTGGTAAGTTACTTGTGTTTTTTACTGTGAACACCCGTGAAAAATAATCATTCAACTCATTTACTATATCAATTTCATTTTCTATTATAAGGCCCTTACTATCCTGCAAATTAGTGATTTCAGCTTTTAGAGCTCTTTTGGAGTTAAAATATTGGAAGAAACTTTTATTGTCATCCTTAGCCTCCAATGCAATTTTTCTTTCTACATCCCTCTTGGACAGAATAATGTTATTTTTAAACTCTACCTGTAGACTTAGATACCCCTGCCTAATTTTGAAATCATTAGTTATTTTCCAATTGTGGAACAGAGCCCTTTTCCTCCTGACTTTATTTTTAATTTCCTTTATACATTTTAAATGACAAAAATCTTATTTATTTTTAAATCTGTCTTACATTGCATCCTTTCACAATGTGACTGTTGCATGTGTACCCATTGTGATGTCTTGATATACAATGTGCCATGGCAAATTCAGTCTTCCCTCGATATCAAACCACTCCCACACCACTGCTGTAGTGTTTGTTCTGCATGACTCAGGACTGGGCTGCATGCTCTTGATATTCTTTCATTTATACATCAACACTGCATAAATGTAACCATTTATTATCTTGTAACACACACAAAATAATATTTTGAACTTCTGGATCAAGAACCCTTTTTCACTTTTTCAAATGCAAGTGCAGTACTGTATGTGGTTTGCTAGAATTCTTAACAGTGTTTGTAGATTGTGTTTAGAAGGCAGGAATAGAAGTAGCTGATCTAAAGTTAAAAGAAGTGAGGTTTATATAAAGCCCTTTCTAATTAAGGCAGAGATTACCACATTATCCCAACTTTCATAACAGGGACTTAACACTCTCAGCCCAGTGTCAGGTTATGGACTCAATGCACTGCTCTGTTTCTCATATCGTACATTCACCATACTGATCACTTACTCACAGCAGACTCATTACACTGACCCCATTCTTATACCAAAGACTCACTGCACAGCCGCGCTACTAAAAGGAAACATTCACCGCACAGCCCCCACCAACAAAAAACGCTACTGTCCCCACTAAAACAACATGCGCTAGACTTTCACTAAGTACTGAAAATAAGAATAGATCTTACTTTTGCAAGTGAGCACACTGCTGCTCCAGGTACCATCTTTTTGGCATTCAATTTCATAATGATCAATCTCAGTACCATCCTGTATAAGAGACATTGTTAAAGTTAAATAAATGTTATGTATCTAGACAAACTTCTGCAGAGAATTTTCAAAAACATGAGTGGTTGCAGGCGCGTATATGACCACTTGCTGCAGTGTTCTCAATGAAAGCAGACCACCAAAAGCTATTAGAACTTCTTACTGGTCACACAATGAGGAAATAATGCAGAACAACTGGCAAATGTTTAAAATCCTGAGAAGCTATTTGTCACATGGAAGTTTTGCCACAAGGAAACTGAAAGAGGGTTTCTGTTTCGTAGAGATTCGGCACTTCTTGAACTAAAAGTGAGGGACTGGATCTGATGCCTACAATTCTCTGTTCTGAGACACTTGAGATCATAGCCTGAAAGATTAAATATCTACAGTGATATTTCAGTGTATCATTATGTAACAGAAAGGCTACTGAACAGTACCTTAAACTTATATAAAACTTTACTATTTTATTATCTTGCATAAATCATAGAGTAACATCTGCTTTGTGTTAAAAAAAAAACATCTGTTTTTTTGACAGTTTTTTTTAATGTGTGGTCACGTTTACTTTCAGGCAGGCAGCAGTTTTAGTTATAACACATAAAAATGAGCAGAGTCTTACCTTTAACACTTTGTATCCAGGATCACAGGTAATTAAGATATGATTTTTAAATGAATAATGGGGAAGAAAAGGCTCCAAATGGCCATGGACTGGGGGGTTTAGAACTGGACAGTTATTTCCTGTCAAAGAGAGCTGGGTCATACATGATCTACACTTGGATCATACTTTTTTGTAAAGCATATTCTGGGAAACTCACCATCAGCAGTATAGGACAGTCTCCAGCCAATGTTCTCGCCTGAACTGTCACTGTGGAAGAAAACCTGAACATGGTTGCTTGCTGTCTGGATACGGTCTGGAGGCTTGTCACCACAGAATGGACCAAGCTCTTTCTGTCCAGTCTGAATCTGTAAATTAGACCATCTTTATCACCTTGAACATAAGTACACTTGTCATTGTTATTTGAATCATTCACATTTATGCTTCCCTTAATTCCCAATAGTTTACTATTCTTTAGTTCAATTTTCATGCCGTTTCATAGATATGTACTCTGTAAGAAAGTACACAGGATTAGTATTTATAACGAGAGGCCAACAAGACTTTATGATTTAATAAGTGGGAGGAATCTTATCTATTACTGCTATGTTTTAAAATATATTCATTTAGTATGCTGTGAGGACGCTGATATATTGTCTTTCCAGAGTTACAGTCCACCACTAATGCAGTCAGACTAATACATAAAAAGATGTTAAACTGAATAACTGTGTTTCCCACACATGCATACTTCAGTTAAAAAAGTAAGACATTCTCCTGTCCTCTTAGTATTTCTGGTGAAGAGTGATCTACATTAAAGTAAGGCTTTAAAAAACTGTATTTCAATTTAATTTATATTTGTAATTTGATCTTTTTTCCTTTATTTAACGCCGGATTAAAATGTGAATGTAGTACCTTATGTAAAGTATAAAAATTGTATAGCTCTATTTGTGTAAATAGGCTCAGTAAGATGCACTAGATCAGTGGCCTGTACTACCGTTACCGGCTTATCAGGGTAACTTGTCGGATTTAAGTTACCATGGTACTTCATATTCATTCAGTTACATTTCGCCCAGACTACCTTAAATCCGACAGGTTGCCCCGAAAAGCCAGTAACCCCACTTCGTAGTACAGGCCACAGGTTATGTACTAAACAAATAGAAATAACAATATAAAATATAGCTGCAAGTAGCAATAATGGGGCCAAGCAAAGTACCATGGTACAAATACCAGGGAAAGAAATTAAGAAAGAGGAAATACAAGAACATAGGAATATATGAACATAGATCATATATGATAAGCTAACACACTGAATGAAACATCTAAGAAAAACTGCAACAGGAACAGATATAGAACCAGTATGGGAAGTGAATCACTGAGTAAAAAGATATGTTTTTAAATTCTTCCTAAAAAGGGAGATGGAAGATAGGTCACTGAGGTTTTGTGGTAGCGAGTTCCAAAGTTTTGAACCTAAAAAAACTGAAGGCCCAGCCAGCCATAGAAGACAAGAAAAGGCAAGGCACCACTACAATAGGTGCCTGGCAATACTACCATGCAGTGGCGGCTGGTGAAGAAAATTCTTGGTGGGGCTGACGTACCAATAGATTTCCCTTCCTAGTCCAGTATAAGCATTCAAATGAACAGTCAGAAAATGACAAAAATTTCACAATGATAATTTAATTTCCTTCTCAAAATCAGCAGTTTTGTTAAATTAACAATTTACAGCTACAGTTATTTCGGGCTTGTCGGGTCTCAGCTGTCACGTTCGCGGGGAGGGCGAGCAGGAAAGCAGGTGAGCGAAGCCAGGAAGTCAGGTACACGTGGGTTTATTGGACAAGAGACGGACATCGATGGACAATACAATGACAAGTCTGGGGAAGACTGACTCAGACGAGGACTAAATACAAAAGACGGGCTAGACATAACAGGACACAGGTGATCACAATCAGGGCTG